GCAGCAACAGTAGTAGCATCATCATCATCATCATCATCATCATCACCCCCACCAGCAGTAGCATCATCATCATCATCACCACCAGCAGTAGCATCTTCACCATCATCATCATCAGCAGCAGCAGCAGCAGGGTCAAGAACACATACACCGAAACATGAGCGCATCCGCCCCTCAGCTGAACTGTGATAACGTTCAGTAGTGTCGATGACAGACTGGGACAGTGGGACAGTCGGCTCGTGGGTGCAGTACTAGCAGAGCGTACGTGCGTGCAACATCACATGCTAGTGAGTCAACATTGTACAATATAACAGAGATCGGATGATATAATGATCATTTCGTGAGGTAAAAGACGCATTGTGTGAGAAAACATACATTGTGTGATATAGCAAACATTGTGTGATATATCTAACATTGTGTGATATATCTAACAAACAGTGTATGTTGTCACAGACATTGTGTGATATAACAGACATTGTGTGATATAACAGACATTGTGTGATCTAACAGACATTGTGTGATATAACAGATATTGTGTGATATAACAGACATTGTGTGATATAACAAACATTGTATGATATAACAGACATTGTATGATATAACAGACATTGTGTGATATAACAGACATTGTGTGATATAACAAACATTATGTGTTATATCACACAATGTCTGTTATATCAGACATTGTGTGATATAACAGACATTGTGTGATATAACAGACATTGTGTGATATAACAGACATTGTGTGATCAAACAGACAATGTGTGATATAACAGACATTGTGTGATCAAACAGACATTGTGTGATCTAAAAGACATTGTTTAATCGAACAGCCTGATATAATATTTGTTCTGATTATAGGATATTTCAACCACCTTCGACCAAGCTTGAGACGTACGCACCAATCCCTGATCCGCACCTGCTCGGATCCCGTCGTCATGGCAACGGCACGAGCTCTGCTGCTGCTCCTCGCCTGCCTCGTGACGTCATCGCGCGCGAACCCGACATCGGAAAATCTCGTCGCCTGCTCGCCGCGCGACGCGTGCGACCCCTCGCGGCCACCTGACGTCTTCACTCAACGCAACTGCTTCTGCGACGACGAGTGCGTGGATTACGATGACTGTTGCACCGACGCACCGGCAGTCCTTGCCGACAAAGACGTCGCCGCCGACACTACTGACGACCCCACCGTCGGCGCCGACAACAACAAAGGCACTGACGCCGACGCTACTGACGACGCTGCAGCCGACACCACTGCCGACAACAAAGGCACTGACGCCGACGCTACTGACGACGCTGCAGCCGACACCACTGCCGACAACAAAGGCACTGACTCAACTACCAACGCCGACGACGACGACGTCACGTCGGTGGACGAGAACGCCGCTAGATGGAGCTGCGGTTTCGTGAGCACGAACGGCGTCGGCACGTACGTGAAGTCGCTCTGTCCGAGCGCGTACCGCGATGTGGCGCTGCGAGCGGCGTGCGAGAGCGGCGGCGACAGCAGCTCGGATCCGGCCGTGTCGCTACCCGTCACGAGCGCGCGCACCAACGTCACCTACCGGAACGTGTTCTGCGCGGTCTGCCACGCCGACGCAGCCGACGTAGCGTACTGGGTGCCTCGCGGCGCATGCACGTACGATCCCGTCTCCATGCGCCTACACACGCTCGAGCAGATACTTCTCAACTCCGTGCACAGGGTGCGCCACAATCGCTGGTACCTCAACAGCAACTCGGCGTACAGCTGCCGCGTCGACGTGCCGCGGCCGCCAGGTGTCGCCTCGCGTCGCTGCAAGCCGAACACGGGCGCCTGTCCCGTCGGCTGGCCAAACGACGCCGTGCGGCGCGCATGCGCATCGCACGCCGCGTACGTGTACGCGCGCAGACGACCGGGAGTCTACCGCAACGCGCACTGCGCGCTCTGCGACGGGAAATCTCTGAAGGATTTTAGCTGTCAGCTGAGCTACGGAGTGAAGGCCGACGGTCGTCACGCGATCTACGACAGCGCGCTCCACCTGGCGCTCGACATGCCCATCGGTAAGCAGCCAGCGCCCCCCGGTGGCGAGGAGGCGCGCGCATGCAGCGCCGCCTACCCGCAGAGCTTCTACGATCCGTTCGCGCAAGCCTGCAGACGTGTTTACTGCGACGCGATGGCGCCCCCTGGCGATGACTGTATGCTCAGGGAAGAGGCGCCCCCTGGTGCCGCCAGGGGATTCCCTGGTACTGCTAGAGGTCTCGCTGGTCCTCCAAGCGGGCTCCCTGGTTCCCCTAGAGGTCTCGCTGGTCCTCCAAGCGGGCTCCCTGGTCCTCCTAGAGGCCTTCCTGGTTCTCCAAGCGGGCTTCCCTGGTTCTCCAAAACGGGTTCCCTGGTTCTCCACAGCGGCTCCCTGGTTCTGCGTAAGGATGCTCCCGCCGGTGCAGCTTCGCCAGTGGCTTCCGGACCCGAGACGCTGCGATGCATCTGGATACGGGTTCGGGAGAGAAGGAGGCGGAGCTCTGGAAGATGATGATGGCTTCTGTACGCTGTTGCTGCTGCTGCTGATGATGAAGTATCTACGCTGGCGAGGAAACCTTTGTAATATTGCAGGATGTGGAGGAAGAGGTAAAAGAGGAGGAAGAGGAGGAGGAGGATGGTGCGGAGGAGGTGAAGAGGAGGAAGAGGAGGCAGGAAGGAGGATTTGATGTGGCGGAGGAGGTTGGAAGAAGGAAGGAAGAGAGAAAGGGGGGGAGAGGCGTAGGAGGAGGAGAGGAGAAAGGAGGAGGCAGGAGGAGTGGTGAGGAAGGAGGATGGAGAAGGAGGAGGAGGAGGTTGGAAGAAGGAGGAGAGGAAGAGGTTGTGAAGAGGTGGAGAAAGTAGTAAAGTACATACGACGACCGAAGAAGAAGACTGAGAGGAAGAGGAAGAAGTAGAAGAAGAAGAGGAAGAAGAAGAAGAAGGAAGAAGAAGACGCAGGAGGAAGAGGAAGAAGTAGAAGAAGAAGAAGAAGAAGAAGAAGAAGAAAAAGAAGGAAAAAGAAGAAAAAGAAGAAGAAAGAAGGAGGGGAAGTATTAGTAGTAGATGAAAAAGATAAAAAAGTAAAAGAAGAAGAAGCAGGCGAAGAGGAATACGAAGAGGAAGAAGAAGAAAGAAGAAAAGATAGATGAAGACGAAGACGACGAGAGGATGATGATGAAAGAGAGGATGAGGATTGAGGATGAGGATTGAGGATGAGGAGAGGATGAAGATGAGGATGAAGATGAGGATGAGGATGAGGATGAGGATGAGGATGAGGATGAGAGGATGAGGGATGAGGATGAGGATGAGGATGAGGATGAGAATGAGGATGATGATGAGGATGAGGATGAGGATGAGGATGAAGTGTGAGGATGAGCAGTGAGGATAAGGATGAGGATGATGAAGAGGAAGAAGAAGAGGCAAGGAAGGAGGAGGAAGGAGGAGGCAAGGAGGTGCAGGAGGGAGAGGAAGGAGGAATGGGGGGTTGTGGAAGAGGTGGAAAGTAGTAGAAGACAAAGACGACGAAGAAGAAGAAGACAGGAGGAAGAGGAGAAGTAGAAGAAGAAGAAGAAGAAGAAGAAGAAGAAGAAAAAACGAACGACGACCGAAGAAGAAGAAGATGATGATGATGATGATCGATGATGATGATAGCATGACGGATGAGGATGAGGATGATGAATGAAGGATGAGGATGAGGATGAGGATGAGGATGAGGATGAGGATGAGGAGGAGGAGGAAGAAGAAGAAGAGGAGGAGGAGGACGAGGGCGAGGAACGAGGAAAAAACGAGGAGGAAGAGGATAAGCCAAGGGCAGAGGAGGAGGAGGAGGAGGAGGACGAGACGAGGAGGACAGGCAGGAGGAGCAGGAGGAGGGAGGAGGAGGGCGAAAAGAACAGCATGTGAGGAGAAGTTGCCGTGGCGCGTGTTTTCGTCCTACCATACTCCGTTGTTCAATGGGCAACCCAAATCCCATACTGCGTGAACAGTGATGAATCTTCCATAAATGCTCGCGAGAGCGGGCGCGGAAGGAGCTCAAGCTCGTGGGCAGTAGGTAGTATGTTCACTGTTGCCATGGTAACAGTTCTACCGTGGACTGTGCTATCCTTGCATGCACCGCATGATATAAAATAATAGGCATCTTAATTTAGTTAAGATATACAATCTACGTAAATAATATATAAAATAATTGATAGAATCAAATGTTATAAAATCAACGCTTGTGTGTATGGTACTTAAGTAAAATGACTGTATATGTGGCGTTTCGAATAATTCACAATCTTTTGTGAAAGAAAAAAAAAAAAAAAAAGATAAAAAAAAAAAAAAAAAAATAAAAAAGAAAAAAAAAAAAAAAAAAAGAAAATAACAGTCAGCAATAACTTAGAGATATATCAACTATGAGATGTATATATTATAAATGTGCGTGGGGCACTATAAATTACAGCCATGGCGCATTTGTGCATTATCCGCATTAGTATACTACCGTAATGCAACATGCATGATAAGCTGCATACGTATAGCGTAGGCAAGTTTTCGTATGGGAACTGATTCCTGTTAGTTGTATGGTAATCAAACCCGATCCCTGTTATTGGGCAAGGGTTAAGGTGCCCCCACACAATCTACTTCTCTATTAGTGGAGGTTAGGTACCGCCCACACCTGATGCCCCTGTTAGGCGAGATAAGGTTAGGGTTAGGTTATGGTTATGGTTATGGTTTATGGTTATGTTTTATGGTTATGGTTAGGGTTTATTGGTTAGGGTTAGGGACCCCCATACCTAATTCTCTGTCAGGGCTTTAGTAAGCCAAGTAATCCCCGCGGGCTTTAGATAGTTTACGTTACGGCAGACTATATAACTTGTGAAAGTAATGTGAATTGGGACAGCAGTAGAGTATTAGCACGTTAGTGTTTATCCAAATACAGGTTCCATTTAACCACATGTGAGTTTCATGAAAGTATTTTTGCGTTTTTACTGTATGTTGCCGCGTAATTCACGATTAACGCTATATGCAAGCAACTTGGATTTATTCACGGGCGTGTGTATAGAAGAATGTGTGTGTGTGTGTGTGTGTGTGTGTGTGTTGTGTGTGTGTGCGTGTGTGTGTGTGTGACTGTGTGTGTGTGGTGGCGTGTGTGAACTGCGTATGTCTGCGGTGCTGTGTGTGTGTGTGTGTGTGCGTGTGTGTGTGGCGTGTGTGTGATGTGTGTGTGTGTTTGTGTGTGTGTGTGTCGGTGTGTGTGTGCGCGCAGCGTGTGTAATGTGGTGGTGCGTGGTGTTGTGTGTGTGTGGTGTGTCGTGTGCGCCGCGCGTGTGGTGTGTGCGCGTGTGTGGGGCACATGCCGTATGTCTGCGGGTGTGTGTGTGTGTGTGTGTGTGTGTGTGTGTGTGTGCGTGTGTGTGTGTGGTGCGCGTGTGTGCACATGCGTATGTCTGCGGTGTGTGTGCTGTGTGTGTGTGTGTGGTTGTGTGTCGTGTGTGTGCGCGCGCGCGCGTGTGTGTGTGTGTGTGTGGCGCGTGTGCGCGTGTGCGCAGTGTGTGCATCATGCGTATGTCTGGGGCGGTGTGTGTGGGGGGGGAGAGGACCAGAGGAAGAAGCGAGGGCGAAGAACATAAATTTATGTAAAAAAGGAGGCACATGAGTGGAGTGAGAGAGCAGGAAGATTGAAGGATGAAGGGAGGCGGAGGAATGAATAAGATGCGAGTACAAGGACAACGAAGAACGGGAAAAGCAAAGGCAAGAGGAGGAGGAAAGAGAGCGAAAGCAAATATTTAATTTAGTTATTACAATTCATACCTCAGTGAATGCGCGCACACACACGTCTCGTATTCATTAATAATATATGAGTATTGGATCTTCGACGCAAGAGTATAGATGCCCGAAATATATGATGACAGACAACAACACATTTTGTATTGCACAATTGACAATTGAAAACGCTGTTGACAATATATATATTGACACATATTGGAAACAGATGAGGTTCATATCAAATTTTCATATTGTTTTGAGATTGCGCAAGACAAAACTCGACAATTTACCAAAACTAAATTTAATTCACACAAACAACAGTTTTGCGTGGACAACCTGCCGGGACCTGTTATATGACAACATATAAACGAAACAAAAACTTTCACATTAACTATTAAATGGTGTTCGGAAATAGCGAATAGTGAAGCATTAAATAAATTCTTCAATTAATTAATTGAATTAATTGAATTAATTAATTAATACGCTGTGCACGTGTTTCTAGTTTTAACGTCAGATTATATTAATAAAATACTTACTATTCCTATAATTCTTCGCACACGAACCATCGCTACTTAGTAAACAAAAAAGCACCCCCCTCCCCCCGCATAAGAATCACTCATTTTTTCATCAGGATTATTTTTGGAAGGCATACATATTATGCAAACTCATTTTAAAACAGAAGAAAACCAAACAACGGGTGGGTATGATTACGTGGACGTGTGACTTTCGCGTGCAGGCGTTGTGCGCGTAACAGCGAAATTACCGACGAACAAACTGCAGTAAAACAAATACGTTTGTAATGGCTCACAGCGGTAAAGAAGGGGGTTGTGCTGAATGGAAGGAGTGATGGTGGAGGGAGGGGGTGATGGTGGAGGGAGAGGGGTTGTGGTGGAAGGAGGGGGTGATGGTAGAGGGAGAGGGGTTGTGGTGGAAGGAGGGGGTGATGGTGAAGGAAGGGGGTGATGGTGAAGGGAGAGGGTGATGGTGGAGGAAGGGGGTGATGGTGGAGGGAGTGGGTGATGGTGGAGGGAGAGGGGTTGTGGTGGAGGGAGATGGTGATGGTGAAGGAAGGTGTGATGGTGAAGGGAGAGGGTGATGGTGGAGGAAGGGGGTGATGGTAGAGGGAGAGGGGTTGTGGTGGAAGGAGAGGGTGATGGTGAAGGAAGGGGGTGATGGTGGAGGGAGAGGGTGATGGTGGAGGGAGGGGGTGATGGTGAAGGAAGGGGGTGATGGTGGAGGGAGAGGGTGATGGTGGAGGGAGAGGGGTTGTGGTGGAAGGAGGGGGTGATGGTAGAGGGGGGATGTGATGGTGGTGTGATGGCGGAGGGAGAGGGGGTGATAGCGGAGGGGGAGGGGGTGATGGCGGAGGGAGAGGGGGTGATAGCGGAGGGGGAGGGGGTGATGGCGGAAGCGCTAGCGTCAACGTGCAAATTAAAGTCAATAGAGGGCGATATTAATCACGCGCTCAAACAAGCGCCGAAAGAAAACACAGAGAATGACGGAGGTGGGAGGGGGAGAGAACAGCAAAAGGGAGGTGGGAGGGGGAAAGACAAGGAAGGCGAAGGTGTGGGGGGAGGGCAGGACAGGGGAGTCGAGTGCCAGAGAGGAAGTCAGCGCTCACGCAAACGTCAACTCTGTTTTAATAACATTTAGATTCATGACTTGTTTTTTTTTTATTCTCTAATTAAATTTTCAAATTAAAATTTACATTGGGGATGGCGAAGTCGTAGAATGATGGAACGAAAGAGATAAAATGAAATCTAGAGA